GACTTGAAAATAAGAATTTTGTTCTGTTTGGATTAGACTGTCTGCTGATCCAAATGTATCATATGTCCTCAGTCCAGCATGAAAGATAAAAGATGAATGAAAATATGTTAAAAGTAAGTAATTTTAAATCACTGATTACACTCATAATTGTGTTTTTGCATCCTGCCAAAAATGATCATGTTTAGTTTTCCTAAAACCAATAAAAATGTTAATATTGAAGCCTTTGATATGGCTTCCCTTTAAAAGATATAGCTGTTCTCTTTTCGCTTACCTCTAGCAGTGATTTTTGCACAGCGAGCTGACTGTACACTCTGGCACCCTCCTCTGGAATCACAGCTTTCAGCTCTTCTTTGTTGAGAGAGAACAGCTGGGCGCCTGTCAGCACACCCAAACATGACACTGTCCTGAGGGACACAAAACATAATGGACTTCAGAGGATACTCTGGTGGAGCCGGTGCGTTCATCCATGTAATGGCAAAACACAGGTGTAGAACCAGCATTCCCTGCTTATACACAAAACGTGGTTTATCTGGTCTGCAGTCACTTACGGTTTGCTGAAGCCCTTCCCTCTGAGCCACTCAGCCACCTCCTCTGGAGGAGAGTGGTAGTCAAGGGGGAGGGAGGTGTCTGCAGAGCGAGGGATGACGAGGGGTTTGTTCATATTGGACTTTCCATTGGTCAGTCTCTGGAGCAGCTCGTCATTTACCAGCGTGACTGAAAAGTTTGGAGTTTAAAGAAGTAACAGGACTCAGTGGAGGAAAGACATAGCTCAAAAGTTCATCTTAAAACATGACAACATGGTTTAAATCCAAAATAATGAACCCATAATTAGGTGACTTATGAGCAGCCTATCACTGTGCTTTTTTGTATCTTTTTTACATTTTGGTTATAGAACTTTTTTAATAAATCTTATATCTCCCATTCCAGAGTATGACTGTACTTACCTTAATAATTCATCATCTACATATAAAATGTATCCACACAAACTGAATGATTATTAAAGTGTGATATGTTTTTAAGATCCACAACTGCTACCAAGTGGACCTTAAGTGAGATTGTTTTGGAAACATTCTTTTATTAGTTTGGGGCAATTTTTCATTTGTTTTCCTTTAAGATTTCAAATTTAAGGTCTCAAATTACTTTAGTTTAGTTGCATGGAATCTCTCGCTTCAAATAAAATAGAGGAATAGCGAGAGTAAAAAGCAGTTGCTCTTCTATTCAGAGGGGAGGTGAGCCACAGCATTTTAGACTCTGCATCCTTGATTTGGTTGATTTTTCCACCAGATGCCCTTCCTGACACAACCCCAAAGGGATTTGTGTCTCTTCCAGGGATCAAATTGGGAAAAATTGGGAAAGGTTCACCTGTTAGGCAAACGTGCAAACCGCTACACTACAGAGCCACAGTCTAGGACACATAAAGTTGTAGTCCGTTACCTTTGTCATTGTCCTCAACAGCTTGCACATGCTGGTTGTATGATGGTAAGCTGCGTGGGCGCTGTGGGGAGTGGGTGGGGGTGGTTTTGGGAAGAGCAGGGGGGGTGGGTGGGGCAAGAGTGACATTCTTGGAAAGTGGAGGCGCAGCTGGAACCTGAAGGAATGTGGAGTGAAGAAAAAAATGAGTTGGCTCTGATGGAATGATCAGATGAGAGCTCGTGTGTTTCACCTGTGCATGCATGTGTGTGG